TTTTTTTTTTTTTTTTTTTTTTTTTTTGAGAGAGAGAGAATTAAGAAATTTTCAATTGAGTTTCAATATGTATTTCACTTTCCTTTTTAGGTGAGGTAAATTCCATATAGTTGCAAAACAGTATTCTGAGTGACAGGTATTTAGAATTTTTTCAAGGAAAGCTTTTTTTTTGACACAACCAGTTTTTTGCCTTTTCTCTCTAGAACGAAGTACAACTTGTTCTCAAGGGACTTACTTTTTTTTTTTTGCATTTTGTAGGAAAGGTAACATTTATATCATCTTTTTACGTAACTGCCAGTTTAGATTTGTTGGATTGTGCTGATCTTTACCGCAGTAGTTTGTTAGAACGTCAATAAGACTGAGGAAATTAGTAATTTTATAAATAGTTTTTGACTACAAAGTTAAATTATTTCGAAGTATTCTGTGGTAACAGTGGGATAAAAGTGTTTTTAAGAACTAAAAAGGTTTCCTTGACCAGCTGTGCCTCTCCGCTGACATTATGTTGTTCGGTACAACGTCTTAATTGCTGGAACAGGAATTTTGTATTGGGTTTAGTTTCTGGAGTGAAATTAAAAGGGATCATTGGGTTGTAGGTGCGAAATTTCAGATCTGTAGAATTAGGAAGAAGGTAGAATTTCCTGGGAAAAAGGCAGTTATGGGATTTGTTCGGGTAAGTATGTTTCAGCGTAGAAATGTGGAAATATAGCTGGGAATTGTATATGTTATTTTTCAGGCTAGCCGTTACTGGTTCTTTGTAATTTGGGGAAACTATCTGTAGAAATTTGAATGGGGAAACGGAAGTACATTACAAGTTTTATGCAAGTGCAAGAAATGAAATTCTAAACAATTGATGGGAATTACTTTTGTTTTGTTTATTAAGCCGTGGATGAAGTGATTGGAGTCGATAAATGATTCGGGTGGGCGAGAAAGGAATATTGGATATTAGAAACCCTGTTGTCGACGAAGAGTTTATATTAGAAATTTTTATAAGTTGTAACGTTCAAGCGTGGTTCCCATTATTTTGAAGTTTTTTAATACATGTTAGGACGTTTATAATCATTTTTTGGAGTTTTACCAAAATTAACACACGGATCGTGATGCTCGAACGCCAAATCGGGAATGAATTGTTCGTAGTACGCTGTTTGATTTGTTAAACGTTGGTCTTCCATAATGTTTTTTACTCTCAACTTTCTTTCAATAGCAATCCTCTAATTTGTTGCCAAAAACAGAAGAATGGTTTTCAATTGAAGTATTTGTAAAGTTTTTGAGAGCGAGAAGATGTTCAATTTTTCTTTGTATGTGTTCCTAGTAGTCATTTGATGAATTTCGGTGTCAGATTTTTCTCTCCTTTTTTTGGTTGATTTTTCTTCAGTGTTGATCTTTTGGTTAATGCTCGAGAGTTCAAGTATGCCTTTCTCACACATTATGACAACCTCATCAAAGAATTTATTGCCTTTATGTAACTTGTGTGCAGAATAAATTGGATATTTTGGTGTGCCTGAGGATCTTAATTTCACCTCTCTTCATTCCGCAAGTGGAAATAGAGAATTCGCTTTCTGATTATTATTTATCAGGAGTCAAACAGTGGTAATGATTACAGCGAAACTCTTGTTTTACTGAATATGTGATGATTTTGAAAAGTCGTTTGGAACGAGCTTAGATGTTTAGTTGCGTTTTTGGTGTTTTTAGTTACGGTTTAGACAAGGGCGGTAAGTGCTTATATGGGCACTACTCTGCGATTATCGCAGGTGTTTGTAGCTCTGCGAATGATTTGGTAACAGCAGAAAAAAAAAGTAATTTGATTAACTTTTTATAAGCACATGGAAGATTTTGATCAAGATGTATTTTTTTCTCACTGAACGTATGATAAAAATGGGTTTGCATTTTAGCAGTGGGTACTTAATTCAGTGCTCTTATTTTCTATTGTTTTATTTCTCAAAGGAAGTTGTTTGGTTTTCTCTAGAATGGTCATATTTCGTTTGTGGTTGGGTGATGGTAATGATTTTGGACATGGTGGGTATGGGACGCTCAGCTTCAGTTCTTTTGGGCGGCATTTTATACTGCTAAATTCTGTTATTTTTTAACGTAAGACATGGGTTGGATGACTGCAGTCTTCTTTCTTACTTTAAAAAGAAACATTGCTGGTTAAAATAGAGTATGTTTAGTTGTTAATGTTAGGAAATTAGAACCCCCTAAGGAGAAGTGGTGTAAAAGGTCAACATCAGTAAGCGCTGTTGGTGAAATACTTATAATCGCTTAATTTAGTACATACTTTTGGAAGGCTCTCAGAAGAAGTTGGAGTGGTGATACTTTTGACATCAAAGATGCCTATCAAGTGACGCACTTGTTGATGGGGTATTGTTGCTAGCCAAAAGGTCGACTAGATGGATAAGATTGGAAGAAAATGGGAATTTCAGTTGTGAACAAAAGAGTGAGAGTGCAGCGAAGTTCGGATTTTGTCCGGCTAATATCAGCATCACTGAAACTCAGAAGCTGTCAATCCTACTTCAATGTAATGCTTGCTGTTTTTTTAATATTATCTAGAAAGGGCTATAAAGTTTTTCAGAATTACGGTAAAATGTTAGAAGTACTTAAAGATGCTTTCCAGTTGCTAAAAAGTGGCAACGTTTTCAAATTTGGTAATCATGAATTGCTTTTTATTTATGCGTACGTTTGCAGATTGTTCGCTGAGGTTTATTTCGTTTTAGACTTCTGTACTAAATTGGTACCGGTAGCTTTTTGTGGCAGTAGTATAAATGTGAAGTAGTATCACTTCTAGCAGTTTGCTATTTGTTTGTTACTTATTGGTAATACCTAACTTCGATAACTGAGAAAAATGACACAGAATGTTTTCGAACATCACAGAAGGCAATTTAGAAGTTGATGATTTAAGGGCCAGATGTGTGATCTCATCGTTCGCTCTTTTCGTTACAGAACGTGTTAGAGACAGATTTTGATAAAGATGTATGAAGTGATTTTATCAATTTTTTGCCGTCAAACGGCAAAAAAGTAGAGTTTCTAAGAAAGGATGTATGCTCAGGTTGCATTTCATGAATTAATTTGTCAAGTGTCACAAACAGAGCTATTTTAGTACTCGACCAAAAGCTATCAGACGATTTACCGTAAGTGACTTCTGGCTTTTTACTTTTACATCTGTACTGTAGAGTCAGCCGAACATTTTCTCAAATATCAGTCAGAGAGAGCTTTTAGCTATTTGCCATGATTGGCTTCTCTCAAACTAGCATTGTTTTCTGCTGGTTTATTTCATTTTCAATCATTTTGCTGCTTTTTCGTCAGGTTATCTTTTTCACTTGTGCAGCGATTCTAGATTTTTTTTTTGTTATTTGAAAATAACTATCTCAGTGAACTAAATTTTTAGAACTAAAGGATGATAGGGTGGAATTAACGTTGGGAACTTCAAGAGTACATTTTATTGGTGGATTTTGGTGGCATTTCTCGGAATGAAGGATGAAGAATTGGAAAACAACAATAGAGGTTTTTTTTCCTGACTTTAGTGTTCTTGGCATTGGAAATTTTTTTCCAAGAAATGTGCATAAATGCATTTTTTAATTGAATCAGAATTTTTTTGATAGTTTTTTTGTACAATTATTGTTTCTCAGATCTGTACTAGACGTGAAATGCGTTTTATTTTTCAAGCGAATTGCTCGTTTTCACGAAAGGGGGAGTTTAAGTTTTAGAAAGGTTTTTCACGCTTTTTATTGGTTTTATATGTTATTTTAAAAATGGATGATATAGGTATTTTTATATTAAAGCTAGATCATCGAACTACTCACGAGTCAGAATGTGACAGTCATTAGACCCTGTCAACTGTAACAGAACCAAAGTGAATATTTCTTGTATCAAGAAAACAGACTTTTCAATTCACGCGTTTCTTCTGTTTCTTGTTTTTTATTTCATAAGAACTGCTTTACTGTTAACCGGCGGTGAATGTTACAATCAGCATAACCACTTTGTACTCCAACATCTTGAACGGCGCTACGTAATGCACTTTTTTGCAAATTATTTTTTGCTTCAAAAACGAGTAGATATTGTCGAACAGTTAGAGGTAATGTTGTACATTTGTACTACATGGAATGTTGATAGATAAGAACAGTAATATTCTTATTTTTGGAGCTCAGATTATAGGCATTTTATAATTGATATAACAGTCCCGCTTCTGTTCTAACGAAGACCCTTGCTGGTAAAGAATTTGAAGAAGTGAAATCATTCGTTGAATGCTTCATGGCGATGAAGTCAACGTCATAAAAATAAAATTTTGTTATCGTTATTTATTCAAATATATATTTTCTGTAGCTTCACTGAGCAGCTTAAAGACTTGTCGTATCTATACGTGAAAAATGATGTTGGCGGGTTATATTATCTAATACTTTTTGCTGCTCATCTGTCTGGGATTAGAAAGGCATGGACCAGAGAGGACTCTAGAGATGAGATTAAGATCAATTTCGCAGTTTCAAGGGAAAAAAGATAGGTTTTGGCTTTGCTTAGTGCTGTAGTTTGGTAGGGGGTTTTGAGTAAATTTGCTGTGAGCTCTGACCAATGCGGTGTTCTTAATTTTGCTAGAACGACTTTTGCTTAAACTGTCACTACATTCTATTATTCTTTGGGTAATAAACAATTTTTTTCGTAGTTTCGTGTGTTCTGCTGGAATGGAATAGGCTTTTTACCATCCGACGAAAGACTTCGTTTTTTGATCACTTTATTGTTAGGATTTTCGGGTCAGTTGTTGAAAAATTTTTGGTCGCAGAAGTTCTGCAAGATGCTGTTGATTCAAACACGTAATTACGAGTATACAGATTTCTTAGAGAATGAGTTGATATTGTAGTTCATATCTAGTTGTCCTGCATAAAATTTAT